TTCCATAATTTTGAAGAAAATACATTTGCGACTACCTAAAAGAACATTGTCCTTTAAAATCATTAAACATTTCTTTTAATTTATATAACTTTTATACTCTTTTTTCCTCAACAAATGTATATTAAATGTATATATTAATAGGTATATAACACATTATATGTATTTAATACTCCCATACAACAAAATCCAACAGATCGTTTCAAGAGGTATTCATGTCTAACATAAATTATATCAAATATGAGTTGAAAAATTTATTTTTGAATAATTGAACGTTTAACCAGACCCATTCTCGAGGGTCTGAAAAACAAAAATCATCTTCTTGATTTTAAATGTGGTAAAATATATCACTTCTTCCAAAATCGCCAGATAATCAGTCTATTATCAGTTTTATGAAAACCATTATACTGAACTACAACTAGTCTACGTGACCAAAGCAATCTAAACAGCCTTAAGTAAATCAGATCAATAGATCTTATTAGTGTTTACAGTCAAAATGACAGAGCTTCAAAAATCAGTTCAACTACTAATAATTCTGGACTACTTCCTGAAACACAGAAAATTGCCAGATTAGCAATTCGTAGAATCGAAACCAATGTGATAAAAGAACCGCCTCATTCTCCTTCACTATTCATTAGTTAAACATCTGACCCTCCAAACTTTTGCGGACATCGCTATTACTATTTGCACACTGCACTACATATGGACAAAGACTAAATTTAATGACAAATTCAGAACCACAAAGACATATCTACTAAACTTGAATAACAAGCTTCAATTAATGGAAAATCAAAATACCTCGAAGTACTTAGAAAACTTCAAATCAACAACAACTACATTGTATTAAGCAGTATTATTAAATATACCTATAAGTGTGATAATGAACACATGCTTTACTTGGATTGCACACTTCATAGAAAAACGAGCAAAATGCCCCAATAAGTTACATATGATGTACCGATGAATACAGTTCAGATTACTAAATATTAAAAATTGGACGCTAGTATACAAAACAATCAAAAGGTCAAATCTATTACATTAATGTGAATCATATTAAACAGCAACTAAACCGACCATCAACAAATATCAAATATACGAAAAAAGCGCCCTCAGAAAAATAATAAGTCCATCAAATTCGTGACGCATTAAAAATATGAATTTTTTCTGAATCCTAAAGGTTTTAACTATTAGAAAACATACAGGGATCAAAACACGGAAAAATTCAAAACTAAACCAGCTATACCTCAAATGTCCACATTTCATGGAAAAATATGAAAAAAAAAATAGAAAAAAAAAGATTTGTTTCCCAGTTTAAAATTTCACATTTCAAAATAATACGCTCTAATCACATCTTATGTGGACATTCAAAACAACAATCTTATATCAATATTCTCCCATCACCCGGTTTTATTGTTTTTATTAGACCTTTAAGTGATTTTCTGCCACACACAATTTTTGAACTGTCCCCAAATCGTAATTCTAGTCTTTGAAGGTACTACTCTATCACTCAACGAGTTGCTCCTTTATTTCTGATTCCATTCACGATTTCAAAATAATTAAGCTATGATCGTTTGATATAAAACCCATAGTGACCACACCCTCTCTATTAGATGGACATTAACTGTATTTACCACATCGTTTAAATTAAACATCAAACTGAAATGGGACTTTTGTTAACTATGCTGTGAGTAGAGCACACACTTACCATATAGTACTCGTATTTGCCAATTTAGCCTCTTCAGATTTTGAATCACCTAGCTAGGATCTTATAGCGCGATTTTTATTCGGAAATTCTCTAATGTTAGTCTAGTCGCTATACTAAAGATTCACTCACAATTTACTTTATTGTGGATTTCTACCTGTATTTCTTATGATACTTTTAGAGATAATAAACCTCTTACGAATAGTTATTTTATTTTTATTCAAGTATATTCTACTGGATTTGCACGAGAGTTTTGTTTGTAATTTTATCAGTCATGTTTATAATTTTAGCTGTCAATTGTTGTTGCTTTCAATCCATATTAAAAATTTTTGACAGCTAAAATTACAAACAAAACTCTCATGTGAATGCAGTATTATAGTTCAGTTACATTTTAAATATAGTTGAACTGTGAACTGATAACTATATTTGTCTTTTGCTATATCTTTTACAAATATAAACACTTTATAGCTTTTTAAGAATAAGAATTATACAAAAATATATTGAAAGAATTGTAAGATTTATTTATTTAACAGAAATGATATGTTATAAATAAAATAATATCCTCAATGGCCATGGATACTTGAGTCTTCAAACCAAATTTGCAAGACATATTGAAGCAATTTTAAAGATTGGATCTAGTGTTGAGAAGTTTGTTCAACTTAATAATTTTATATAATTATTATAATAATATAAAAATGAACTGTTTAGAAAGAACACAATTGGCACAAAATTAATTTTCATTTAACAAAAAGTGAATGAAGACAACGATTTAGTATTTATGTTACTTTTTACAAATGCTTCAATTGCTAAAATAATCACTTAAATGGAAACATGCCAAGTTGTACGTTCACCTCCCTCCTTCATAGAAACTCTGGATGTAATAAGATGAAAAATATTTTCTCAACTGTCGTTGCTATCAGTTGCTACCATCGTCGTCCTCATCATCATCATTGAAAACCCATCCATTTCAATTTTTCAATTGAGCACAAAAAGGAAACAATTTTTGAATTTTTAAGGAAACACAAAATATGAAGAACATTGCACAATGCAAAACAGCAACGACGACTGCTCAAGGAATATTGTTGTGGTTGCAAAGGATTCGCTTTTTTATTACTCTTCCTTTTTGCCAGTTTTATTGCAAATTTTGGCGGTTGGCAATGATACATACAATCAGAAATAGATGAAAATATTTATGCACAGATCAAAGATCAAAATGAATATTTTATTTGATTTTACAAGGAAAGTATTTTAGCAACGAAATCGCAAGGATAATAGTCCTTAGAGAATATTTATTCGTTTTTGATATTCTTACATCGCATAGCCTGAAAGTATGTGATTTCTTGATGGAAGTGGTTGATTTATATTTGATGCGATGATAAAGTGCCTTCAAGGATATGTTAAAATACTTTTCCAGGCGCTTTATTTTATATTACATTTTTATAGCTTTAGCTCCTTCAGCGATAATCGCAGTTAAGGTAATTTGTCGTAAAAAATTTTAAAATTTAAGATGTGTATTTATAAGTAATAATTTCATCTGAAATTGATTTTAATTAATAAAGAATTGTTTAAAAGAGCAATGACAGAGTGTTACATATACTCTGTCAATGCTATATATATATATATTTATAGGGTATATACTGTCAATGCTTTAATACGCTATACACAAGTAGTTTTCTGACAAATTGCCAACTAATAAAAAATTTTTGTAAATAATATATTCAACTTTTTTGTACAATAAAATTAGATTTGTTTTTAAAAGCATTTTGTATGGATCTACTAATATTATTCATTTTCGAAATCTCTGTAATATCTTCCATCAAATAAGCTCAAAAACTTTGAGATTTCATACCAGCTTTGGAAGGGCTATACGAATACATATAAATGGATTAGCAGATAGATAGACTCAAAAGGAGCGGTCAGACATTTTGTTAAGAAATATAGCAGTTAAAAAGCTTTTTATAGCAAAGCTAGGTCGTAAAAAGTAGATATGTCGGTAAGAAAAATCTTTCACAAATGTTTTTTTAAAAAAGTTTTTGATGTGTTGTCAACATTTTATGACATTTAGACGATTAAAAATGGACATTTTAGGGTTCAAGTTACCGTGCTTTAGATTGTCGATACAGCATTTTAGATCATTTCTACATACATGAAATGCTTTCCATACGTCATC